AGTTTCTGTGAACTTTCACCCATATTGAACACTTATTAAGGGTAATTTCCAGAGGAAAATGCCATTCCGGATAATTTAATGCTGCCCTTGTAGCCACAGAATGCATTTATGCAAAAGGAATGTTCTGCAGACACTGCTCTTTACTCTTCAGGACTTCATTTAAATGTGGTTTTGAAAGTCACTTTCTTGGTACTCATTTGTTTTCTGGTGGTTGCAGTCAGACCTGTTCCCGCTGAAGTGAATGGGCAGGAGGTGACCTGTACTCACACATCAAACTGATTCCTTCAGAAAGAGTCCTGTGGGACTTGTGTCCCTGCCAGCTGCACACCAGCACCTGCAGGGCACCCACCCCTGGTGTCAGCACCCCTCTGAACTGGATTAATCCCTTAATTTCCTTCTACCAACATTTTTCCAGCGTTTCTGTGTGAATCTTGCAAGCTGCAATCCCTGTGAGGAGGCAGGAGGGAGCAGAAACAAGAGCAAGGCTGAGCTGGATGTACTTTGTAACCTCTGCAGCAGCAAGGGCTGTGCTGTGCCTGTGGAAGCACGCCCAGAGCAAACACTGGACACACTTCAAAACACTCCTTGGGAAGGTCCTGCTTTGCTGAAGGACAGGGCAGGTAATTGTGCTGCTAATTGCTGCTGCAGGAACTGAAGGTACAAGTCAGAGCTGTTCTGCATTTGGGAGGGGGTGGCCGTGGGTTTGCATGGGCTGGATCAGTGTAAAAATACTTGCCTCTTGAGTTACCTTTACAACCTGGAATCTATTGTGGTTCTTTCTCCATCAGAAAAAGTAGGTACAGGTAGCAAAAGAGAGCCATGCACTGTTTGTCCAGCCTGATCTCCCCACAGACACTCACCCAGCCCTGCTTCCTGTTTTTCCCTTTAGTATCTTGTCTTTCAGAGCCACATCTGATGTGTTGCATTCTTTGAGCGTGCTTGTGACTGTGTTCACAGGGGTCCGAGGAAGAGGGAAGAGATGAGGATCTGACTCCATGTTTCAGAAGGCTTGATTTATTATTTTATGATATATGTTATATTAAAACTATACTAAAAGAATAGAAGAAAGGATTTCATCAGAAGGCTGGCTAAGAATAGAAAAGGAGGGAATGAATAACGAAGGCTTGTGGCTCAGAGTCTGAGCCAGCTGACTGTGATTGGCCATTAATTAGAAACAACCACATGAGACCAATCCCAGATGCACCTGTTGCATTCCACAGCAGCAGATAACCATTGCTTACATTTTGTTCCTGAGGTCTCTCAGCTTCTCAGGAGAAAAAAATCCCAAGGAAAGGATTTTTCAGAAAATGTGTCCCTGACACATGTTAACTTACTTGTCATTAATGTCATTTATCCTCTGAACTGATCCCAAGGCTGTGCTTGATTTGAGGGAGAGCCTGGCAGAGGGAGATGGGGGCAGGCCTGGAGCACAGCCAGGGCAGAGGCACACAGGGGATGTCACTTGTCCCACAGCCCTCTGAACTCCTTGGGAGCTCAGTTTGCAAACACTGCAGCCGTGAGGAGGCTGCAGCAGGAGCAGGGAATGCACAGGCACAGTCCAAATTCCTCATGCAGTGATGCTGTGGAATGCTGCCCTGGGAAAACACAACCTGAGCATCACACCTGGGTTGCTACAGGGAGAGAGGATTTCAGCAAAGGGCTCCTTGGTGTGTGGGGCTGTTCAGGCCTAAATGTATAAACAACAGGAGTTCAGATAATGCACAGGGCCTGGATTGGACGTTCACAGCCACAGGTGTGCTGTCCCCCTGCTCACAGCACTCCAGAAGTATTGAGATTTCACCTGGGCAGGAGAAATGCAGGAACACCTTACCACAGTCCAGATCCTCCCACCTCTGCTTAAGCTGCTGCCTCTTGAGTAGCAGCACCCCAGAGTGCTGCCAAAGGCCATCAGCAGTGCCACCCAGCCCTGGAGCATGGAAAAACAACAAACTTCCCTAAAAGCTCTGTAATTCCCTGTATTCCCAGTGCCCCAGCCAAGACAAAACGAAGCACTTGCAGGATCAGGATTATTACGCAACTCCCTCCAAAGGAGCAGTGGAAGAAAAGGAAGTTAAAGGTTTTTTCTTCAAAATAAACCCATGCCCAGGATGGATGAGTTCTGTGTTGCTGCTGACAAGCATCCTAAGGTGAGACAACTACATTGCAATTTGGGCCAATAAAGCAAATAAAGAGGGAAGAACAGAAACCCTGCAGTGGTGAACTCCCCTAAACAAGCACAGAGTGAGCCAGGGGCAAGGGAACAGAAACCAGATAAATAAATAGACAATGCTCCAAAAGGAGAGTGGGATAAGAAATAGAGAGTAAGGGAAAAGACCTAATAAAAAAAATTGAGGGAACAAAAACAGAAACTCCCACAAATGAAAAAAATGCTGATGCTCCCCACTCTGACCATGGAGTATGGATATATATCCTGAAAATACAATTTAGGTTTTAACAGAGTGAAAAGCCCAGTGCTGGAATATGACAGGCAAGTAATAAGAACTGTATGGAGATAGAAATGGAAAGCATCACTACTACAAACTTCAGCTGTTTTTCCAAATCCACGTATGGCATTGGAAGGTATTTCTTATCTCAGTCCTCTCAGTCTTCTGGCTCAGTAAAATGCCAAAATTTTGGACCGTGGCATGGTTCCAGAAGGAATGAATGTAAAGATGATGGCACAGCTCCAAGGGTTGGTCCTGCAGGATCATGGCTACTGCAACCCTCCTGTGCTTCATGAACAATTGTGTGTGTATCACAAGACACGAGACAAGGAGGAGTCTGGTGCTGCACATCAGGCAGGGCTGTCCCTCTGCACCTCCTGGGGAGCTTTGAGCAGGATCCCTGCTCACAAACACTGCATTTCCACAGGCTGCTGCTTTTTTGCAGGCTCCCCAGATCCCACCAATCCCATCCTCAGCGCTGTGATGAGGTGGGAATCTGCTGTAGGGAGTGGGAAATACAGGCTGGACACAGGGAATGAGCAGGCAGAGTTGTATCACCACAGCCATCACTGGGAAAGTACAAACCCCCCTGTTTCCACAGGAAATAGCTATCCTTCCATCATGTACCTATTCACTGAAAGCTGTTATTCCTGCTGTTTAAGAGATTACCAGCACTTATCCTGTAAAACTCCATAATCCAGAAGATGAAGGGTATAATTAGACTATCCCAAAAAATGCAGGTATCTCCTAAAAGCCTGTCTGCTCCTCCAGGAGTGAATCACTTTTGTGTACAAATGGCTTTCTTTTGCTTTAGTTCCCAGCTCTCTCCCCAGGTTGGATGAATATGTGGGAGGGGATGGGTGAGATCAGGGAGAAGCCAATCTATGTCCCTTAACATCACCCAGCTGTTAGGTTGGTTTGTTGTGCCCTGGCATAATTGCATGTTAGGTCAATGTTCCCCAAAATGACAAGACGCACTTAAAAAAATTAATTCTAACATTCATTTTTCAAGTAAATGTGTAAAGGGTAGATATTAACCCAAAGTATTCAAAATCTGTAAGGGGGGGGGGGGGGGGGGGAATATGACTTTCCTGTCTTGGTGTCTTTCTCCCTTAAATTCTGCATCCATCCAGTGCTGCAGTCACCACCAGAACCCGCAGTTCTCTTTCCACAGCGGAGAACTCTCCAGCGCTTGGGTCTCGCTGTTAACCATTCCCAGGCTCCCAAACCCCGCCTTCCCTTCCCTGCAATCCCCAGCACTTTATCGACGCCGGGACCCGACGCTTCTCCATCAATCAGCGTGCACGGGGAACGCGCCGAGATAAATTTAATTTATTCTATTTATTTATTCAAACTCAAACCAGCCCGGCCGAGCGGCCCCTCCCGGCACCGGTGCCGGGAGCCCGCGGGACACGGGAGGGACAGCGACAGATCCCCCTGCCCGGGGAGGAGACCCTGGGATGGGAACGGGGATGGGGAGAGGAACGGGGATGGGGAATGCGATGGGGAAGGAGACGGGGACAAGGATGGAGACAGAGATGGGGATAGGAACAGGGATGTGCACGGGGATAAGGACTGCGATGGGGATAGAGGGACGGGGATAGGCACCGGGACAGGGATAGAGACAGGGATAGGAACAGGGATGGGGATAGGAACAGGGATAGGAACGGAGATAGGGGCTGAGATAGGGATGAGGAAGGAGACGGGGACAGGGATGGAGACAGGGACGGGATTGTGCTGGGGCCGGGGACAGGACTGGGACGGGCATAGGGACGGGGATAGAGATCAGGATAGGGACAGGGATAAGGGACGGGGATAGGGACAAGGACTGGGATAACTAAGGTGATGGAGATCGGGGAAGGGCCGGGGCCGGGGCTGAGACGGGCACAGGGACCAGGACACGGATAAGGTACATGGACCGGGATGACGAAGGTGCCGGAGATCGGAAAAGGGGCCGCGGGCAGGACTGGGACGGGCATAGGGACGGTGATAGGGAGCAGGACAGGGACAGAGCTGACGAAGGTGATGGAGCTGGGGCCCGGGACCGGGACCGGGACGGGGATAGGGACCCGGACAGGGACCGGGACAGTGACAGGGACCGCGCAGACCAAGGTGACGGAGCTCGGGGCCGGGGCGGGGCCGCGCGCGCGGGACGTACCAACCGCCGCACGCTGCGCGCGCACGCGCGCGGGCCCTTGGCGCGCGCCTTTCCCCCCTCCCTTTCTCTCCCCACACCTCGTCCCCGCTCGCCCTTGCCCACCCGGCCCCGCCCCCTCCCCTTCGAACGCCGCCGTTGCCGCTCCCCGGCCAATCCCCGCCCGCCGCCGCCGCCCCGCCGGCCAATGGGCGTGCGGCGGGTGGGGGCGACGCGCGCGCCAGGCGGGGGTGACGCAGGGAGTTTTTTCCTGTGACGCGCAGGTGCGTACGCGGGGCCGGCGCGCGGCGGCGGCGGTCACGTGGTGCGGCCCCGCCGCTGCCAGCGCCGCGCGTCCCGAGCGCGCTCCGGCCGCCGCCGCTGCCCCCGCGCCCCCCGCATGTCGCTGGCGCCGCGCCCCGCGCCCCCACAGCCGCCCGCCGCCGCCCTCCGCCGCAGCCGCCACCGCCGACGCCCTTGATGTGGTTCGGGGCCGGGCGGGGGAGAAGATGCCGCCGTCCAAGTCCCGCAAGATCGCGATCCTGGGCTACCGGAGCGTGGGTGAGCGCGGCGCGGGTTTCGCGGCGGGGGTGCGGGAGGGGTGCCCCGGGTGCCGCCGCATCGCCCTCCCCCGCGGCGGCGGCGGCAGGTGCAGCGGAGGCAGCGGCGCTTCCCGCCGCCCCGAGCGCGCAGCCGCGGCCCGAGGGAGGGAGCGAGGGAGGCCCCGCCATGGCGGCGCCGCAGAGCTGCGGGCCCGCGGCCGCCGTGCCCTTAATAGGAAGTTTCGCCCCCCGCGCTCCCCGAACGCAGCCCGGAAAAACGGGATCGGGGCAGCTGCGGAGAGGGTCCCTCCCCGCCGGCTTGGCTGCGCTGGAGTCCAGCTCCATGCAGGCTCCGTATGGAGCGAGCCCGGAGAAGGGCGGCGGAGCTGGGACGGGTCTGGAGCGCGTGTTCTGTGAGGAGCTCGGGGAACAGGAGGCTCAGGGGAGGCCTCATCGCTCTGCACAAGTCTCTGACAGCAGCTGCCGCCAGGTGCGAGTCGGCTCTGCTCCCAGGCAACCAGCGGTAGCACATGAGGACATGATCCTCATCTGTGCCGGGGGAGGAATGGGTTGGACACCAGGAAAAATTTATTCTCAGAAAGAGTGATCGGACACTGGAACGGGCACCCCAGGGGGATGGTGGAGTCACCGTCCCTGGAGCTGTGTAAGCGAAGACTGGACGTGGCACTCCGTGCCGCGGGTGACACGGTGATGAAGTCCCTGCTCCACTTCAGAGCACTTTTGCAGCCTCGGTGGTTCTGTGATTTAGAGCCAGTTTGAACCCTGGGGAGGCCGGGCGGGTGTGTTGCCCGTGCCTGGCCCGTTCCTGCCCCCATGGAGATGTTCGTGAGGCGGCAGCTCAGCCGCTGTTCCCGAGGGCCGCCTCGGCTCCGGACTGTGCCCGGCACGGCGCCGCCGGAGCGGGCCGGCCGCTGGGACGAACTGCCTGGAAGCGTCCAGCACGAGTCCATAGCAGCTGATAGAGGCTTTTGTTCCGTATAAAAGTGTGATCCTGTCTCCTGCATCTGATGGAGAACGGTTTCGGATGTTTCAGCGTTCGAGTTCTTGGAGCAGAGGGGAACAAGCTGTAGTACAGGCGGTGCTAATCGAGCCAACTTAAAAGCATAGATCAATGTGAAAGATAATGTGTGCTTGGGGAAAAAAAAGATGCTGCAGAGTGATACTACTCTGATATAAATGGGGATTTTACATTGAAAGCAGTGACTATATCACTAATTTGTTTTCCATGGCACACATCATAAAGAACCCTTTGAAAAAGCATTTTTAAATATAAAAAAGGCTAAATAAGGAGAGGTTTTTTTTTTTTTTTTGCATAGCTGCAGCCATGCAGCTTGATGTTTCAGTTTGTTTGATGAATTTGTCCAGCCCTTAAACAGAACAGTGAGCAGTAGATTGATCAGTTTGCACGGTCTGTATGACATCACTTGTTGCAGTCTGTTCATTGTCTTGTTGTTATGTTTTCTATGAGCACTGGTGGGAGCAAAGCAATGGGCAGTGTAAGTGGGAAGGGGAAATGCTTGAAATTCTGTTCTTAGGAAGTCTGTGGTGGGGACTGAATGTACTGTTGAGCTTTGGTCCTTCATCTGTTGACACTAACAAGCAGCAGTCAGAAAATCAGATATTAGTAGGGTGTAAATTTGAGGAGAAATAGAGGAGGAGTATAATGTTGTTATTTGGTTGGGGATGTGAGCAATAGTGCTTGTGGAAAGGATGGCCAAAATGTTACCTAACTGTTAAGACCTACTGCTGAACTTTAACTAAAGTTTTCTGGGACTAGTGTGGAATTGGGCTTGATAGGACAAGACCAATTTTATTAGGAGAGCTACAAGTTGGAGAAACATGGAATTAAGAGAAGGGGAAAATTGATTTACTGGAATTTCCTTTCGTTGTCATTAAATTTCTTGGCAAATACTTAGGTAAAAGTTCAGGCAGTAGAAATGGGCCATTGAGGTTCTACTTCCATCTTGTGAAGCTGTTAGAGAAGCAGGAAGGTTAACTTGTGAGATTTAGATTGTCCTCTGCTTCCCCAAATGTGCCTCCTAAAGTGTGGTAGGATGGGGGCTGAGTTTGGCTTTAGGGAAACTTTTGATTAAGTCTTGCTTTGCATTATGATGGCAAGAATATCACTTGGACCCTGGGTAAGAAAGGATATAATCTCATTTTAGGACAAGTGTTTGGGTGGTAGAAAAGGAAGTATGTTTCTTTTGGAGGAAATGCTGCATTGTATAGAGGTAATGCTCATTAAAGTGGGGAATAATTCCAGAATCTGAAGGAAATGCTTTCTACATTTCCTTTTGTAATTCGGGAACAACATTGTTTTGCCATTAACATTAATCTTGACTCTGGAATTAGGGAGGTTAACTTTGGTGAGTTGTAAAATGCTTGCAGTTTTATAGGCCAGCCCTAAATGCTTAGGGGGCCTGCTCTGGGACGTTGGGTGCTCCCCCTGTAACTGCAGTGATTGAAATGAAGCTGTCATAAAATGAGGAGCTGTTTTTCCCATGTGTCTCTCAGTTAGGTGCTGAAATAACCAGGTTTTGATGATGATGTCGTCAAGCAGGGAGCTTTTCCCCGCAGCTGTTGGTTGAACAGCCCCGTGGGTCTCTCGGGTTACGAGTGTGTGCAGTGAAGGGTGGGCACGCCCTCCCTGGGGATTTGTGAAACAGGGGCTGAAAATTGCACTGGATTCCTGCTAAGGCCTTGTTTATTTTATTACATTAAAATTTAATCTTATCCCGGTGCTGTTGTCAGGTAAACTGGAGCTTGGGAGTGGTATTGTGGTATAATAGTTCTGAGAATAGAAAATTCAGGAGTCTGCTTGTTTGAATACACTCCCTCTATCTTTCAACACCGCCATCAAGCCTTTCATATGTGAAACTTTTATTCTTTGCTGATGGGAGAGATCACAGTGGAAGCCTTGTGAATTCCCAGGCAGTCATACTTTCTGAGATGCAGACAGAGTATTTGCCAGGGTGTTTTTTGGTGAGGAAGACTGATTATCTGTGGCTACAGCATGCAGGTCGTGGCATGACGTGAGACAAAATCACGCAAGAATGTCTCTGTTGGGTTTTGCTCAGGCTTAAATTGGTCTAAGAAAGTTCAATTCCATTATGTAATTGTGCTTGTCTCAGCAAGGTTCTGAGTAGAAATCAGATGGATTTCATCCCAGGGTCTGAGTTTCACAGCAGAGGAACTTGACTTCCATTACTGTTAGTTGGGAAGTGAGCAGAGTGGATCAGCTATTTGAGATTTGATTCTGGAAGAAATCTGTCTTGTGCATGATGAAGCATAAAATTTTATAAAGTTACTGCCTTCACTAAAAAGAATTTTCATATTTGTGTTTTGATCATAACTTAATATCCCAAATATAATTGGAAATAATGGATTTACTTGGAAATAAATCAAGCAGGACTAAGATTTTCTGAATCTTTTTAGAGTAACAGCCTCTCTAAGAAGCAGGGTAGAGTTGCCAAAAATGCTTTGTGTTCAGTTTCATTCTCTTTCTGTTTATAGAACAGATGTGCAAATTCAGACCACAAATGCCTGTAGGAAAGAAGTTGTTTCTTAGATCATCTTGTAAAGCACCTTATTACTGGGATTCTCTGTGTTCTGTTGAATGGATGGATTTAAGATAAGCAGGAAGGTATTGTTTGGATCAGCTGCTTCAGTTGTAGGTCTTTATCTCAGCCTGATTTCTTTTGTGCTGTTTGGATAAGTTGTGCTGCTGGTTTTACAGATGTGCTTGCAGAAACAGGAATTCTCTTTCTGAATTTTACATGTTTGGACTGGTCATCTGAAAATACTGTCCTGGGCAGTTTATGGCTCTGAGGGGGAAATCCAGTTAATAATAGAGAACTTACCTATTTTCTTCCCTGGATAAATAAATCAACTTTTTTTGTGTGTGTAGGTGTAGAGCAGACCATGCTGCAGGCAGAAGGAGTCATGGTCTGACTGCGGCATGCAGATACCAAAAAAAAACAACTGATGGAACAAAGTGATCTGTCAGGATTAGATTTGTGTGGAAAGGCTTTCAGGTGATTGTATTCAGCTAAAAAAATGCCTCTGCTCCCTCCACTTTTGCTTGAAAAGCAGGAAGGCAGAAAAAGCAGTAACTTCAATATGGACCTGTAAATAGTAAAAATAATTGTTATGGCAAAAGGTGGTTTGAAAAGAGGAGTTGTGTGAATATTAGGAGGTTAGCAAGGTAAAATGGAGCTGGGGCTTTGCTGTGGTGCCTGAAAGATGGCATCTGCTCTCACAGCAGCGTTCCGCCCCGAGCAGGGATCCCTCTGGGATTGGATGGGAAGTGGTAATTTTAGCAGGCGATAAATTGCCCGTGTAAATGTCAACAGAGGAGGAACGGAGAAATTACCGCTGCCGTGTGCTGTAATTTGGTTTACACAACCGGCTGTGGCCGCAACACGGGCGAGCCTGAGATTGAGCGGGGAAATTGAGCGGTGCGGGAGCCAGCTGATGTGTAAGGTTACGTTTTGCTGTCCCCTGTAAAGTGCCAGGATGACTCCAGGGCCCTTCCCTCGCCAGGGCCGCGTTTGGCGGTGCCGGGGCCCTTCCCTCACCGGGGCCGCGCTTGGCGGTGCCGGGGCCGCGCTTGGCGGTGCCGGGGCCCTTCCCTCGCCAGGGCCGCGCTTGGCGGTGCCGGGGCCGCGCTTGGCGGTGCCAGGGTTGGCAGTGCCGGGGCCCTTCCCTCGCCGGGGCCGCAGTTGGCGGTGCCAGGGCCGCAGTTGGCGGTGTCGGGGCCGCGCTTGGCGGTGCCGGGGCCCTTCCCTCGCCAGGGCCGCGCTTGGCGGTGCCAGGGTGCGGCAGTGCTGCAGGAGGGAAGCCTGCAGCTCCCAGGGGACGGGCTGAGGCTGGAAATGCCAGCTTTGATTGCGTTTCCGTGTTAGTGCTGCCATAGTGGCTGCAGCAGGGAAAGTTGCTCCGGAGCGTTTGATAGCAGTAGCTGGAAGCGCTAGAGGCAGCGTGTTCAGCTGTAATATC